GCTGTTAGACAAGGGATTTATCAGGCCGAGTAGTTCACCATGGAGAGCCCCGATCCTGTTTGTGAAGAAGAAGAAGGAAGGGTCACATCGGATGTACATAGACAACCGAGAGCTAAATAAGGTAACGGTGAAGAACCGTTATCCCCTCCCGAGGATTATTGATTTGTTTGACCAACTACAGGGTGCATCTTAGTTCTCCAAGATTGATCTGCGATCGGGTTATCACCAGATGCGAGTCAGAGATGAGGATGTGTAGAAGACAACTTTTAGGACTCGTTATGGTCACTATGAGTTCGTGGTGATGTTTTTTAGGCTCACCAATGCTCATGCCATGTTCATGGATCTCATGAACCGCGTGTGCAGACCGATGCTGGACCGGTCTGTGATAGTCTTCATCGATGATATTGTTAGATGTTGTTTTATGAATCTTATAGGGTAGTTTTCATTAGTATTTAGGATCAAATTTTTTACATTTGCATGTCATTTATTTAAATGATGTTCAGCTCATGTCTTTCGTTAGAATTCCCGTACTGCTCATGTTTTTATGTCAATTTCAGATAGTTCGAGTGGAGCAGTACTTTGGGAGCAGTTGGATGCGTGTTTGGAGCTTAAAATGGAGCTTGGAACTTATGGAGTATGTTGCGGAATGCTTGTAAGATTCTTTGGTCAAGAAACATTCGATCGAATTGATCACACGAAGATAGAATCTACAATCTAAAGTTAAAGGATGTTGCTGGCAGCTTTGACCCGCTGTCAGTATTTTGACCATATCTCGAGAACCGTAACTCCGATTGACACGATTCAAAATGATCTAAAAAGCAGACGAAATTTCAGACGACTTAGGCACAACATGTGATTGCAGGTTGCCTTCATGCGATCTCCTGGGGACTTTTTGCGATCGCAGGTTAGGTCGCAGCATGGATTCGAGGTTTTTTAGTGCCCAAAATTCATCCGGGACTGAAAACTCAATACATGCGATCGCAGGTTGTATACATGCGATCGCAGGTTGGCCAAAAAGTGTCAAAATAGCATCCTACTTCATTAAAAAGGCACGATACGCGTTTTCTTGAAAACCTGCGATCGCAGGTTGTCTACATGCGATCGCATGTGCGCCGTTTTTGCTGCTGGACGTATAAATAGACCCTGATAGCATTCTAGTAATCTAAGTTGGCGATTCCAGAGGTACCAGACGACGAAAATACGATTTTGGAGGCGTTTCTTCTCCGATTTCAACGATTTCTGAAGATCTGAAGACTGTGGATCATCTCCTTCAAGTAGATTAGTAAGATTAGCTGTTTGATGTCTCTTTTCATCTGTTTTTATCAGATTTTAGCCATGTCTGGCTAAAACCTTAGTTTTCAGTTCTGCAAGACGAGTACTTTTCATGTGATTGATCATTAGATTTGGTTTTTGATTTGTGTTTCTATCTAGATTCTTCAGTTTTGTTCTTAATGAATGTTTGATTTTGATTCTTGTTAATCTGATCACCTAGCTAGGGTTTGATCATTCCAGTTAATCAGTTATAGAATACGTAATTGTTCTTGTCAACTGGTAAAAGTAACAAGTAATAAATCGGTTCCGTGTTTAGGATTTGACTTTATTATAAACTGAAAAATCATATCTTTACGCTTCCGAGCTTGTGAGAAGTATTGGGTATTGCTGGGAATTTTACATAGAATTTAATGCAATTTTTCTAATTTAATTAAGAGCTTGTTTAATTGAACAGTAAAAAGTTTAGGTTAATTGAAGAGCTTGTTTTGATTAACTAATTTTGGTAAAAGAGAAATTACTAGAGCTTGTTAGTTTTTCTCAGTACCAGCTTAGATAGAACGCATATCCAATAATCAGATATGAGTTAGTTGCATTATTAGGAAAGTCGCAGCAGAGCTGAAATCGTTTTTAATATTTATTTTCGTTTAATTTTAATATCACTGCATTTTTAGTTTTTAGTTTTTAATTAAACCCCCCCCCCCCCTTTATATTTTGTTTCTTGACTAGATGTGCCTGATGCAAAAAGGCATTGACTTTTAGGCTGTGTCCCTGAGGATTCAACCCTGCTTCCCTGTGTTATCTTTTTAGTGCAACCAGCAGTGATACTTTACTTGTTTAATACGCGTGCGACAGCGTGTTAACAGATATCTTGGTTTATTCCAAGACCCAGGAGCAGCATGGGGAGCACCTGAGGGAGGTGTTGGAGACACTGAGGAGGGAGAGACTTTTCGCGAAGTTCTCCAAGTATGAGTTCTGGTTGCGCGAGGTGCAATTTCTGGGGCACCTTGTCAACCAAAAGGGTATTCTGGTTGATCCGGCCAAGATAGAGGTTGTGATACAATAGGAGGTTTCGAGGTCTCCGTCTGAGATTCGGAGTTTTCTTGGTCTAGCGGGTTACTATCGGAGATTCATACAGGATTCCTAAAAGATTTTCAAAAAGAGTTTATTATTTGTTTATCTCAAACTTGTGGGCACACCAACATCAAGTTGACGTTTTCAAAACCGCATGTATTCCTATGATGGAGTAAGGATCAAGGCAAGGAAGGACAATCAGCTTGAAGATAGATAGGTTTCGTTAAATTCCTTTTAATAGATTTCGTTTAGAAAAAGATAGTTATGGTTTGCACTCTGTGATTTGGGTAATTCATATAAATACCGTCACCACTCAGCATTTCCGGTAACGTTTAGGGAAGGTGTGACATTTCATACAAGTGACATGGTCATCCCATGGTCTTTCATGCTAAAGTCACAAAAACAATCTAGCAACATACATAGTATAGTGACAATACTCACTTTACACTCAGATCGGGTATATCACAGCTCGAACAATCGTGAAACTGATGCTATAATCCACCTATCGACACACCCAAGGCCAAGCCTTAGTATGCACTCTAAAACTAGCCTATTGACCAAAAGTCACCCCGATCAAAAATTCAACTCAGAAGACCACCATGCCATGGCCAACCTATAGCCACGTTGTGCCAGCTAAATGCTAAATTTGTCGCGCAAACTACGCTTACCACGTCGTGGCGAGCACCATGTTACACCGTTGTTACTGCTTCCAAATAGAGTAACAGATTAAGCCGTTAATCTGTTAAGCCTTTCGTTCCAACTTTATAGAAAGCTTATATGGACTCCAAAAGCTCATAAAAATCCGGACTTTACGGACATGCATGTCCCATGCATGTCCTTCACTCAAGCTAGATCAAATGGTAAGAACTTGACTTAAAACTCATGCAAAGCTTACAAAGCTCATCCAACTTCTAGATTTAGAAGATATTAGTCTCAAAGGACCTAAGTGAGCCATAAAGTTGCAAATTTATCTCATTTCATCATTCAAACTTCATTTATGGACCAAAACGTGTTAAGGAAGCTAGATCTACAAGAAAGGAATCACCAAGATGGGAGCTTGAGGAATTACAAATAGTCTAGAAGGTGCACAAAATGATGGAGGTGGCTTACTTGCTGGATTCTTGCACTAGAGACTCCTTCTTCTTCCTTCCAAGATCACAAAAACACCAAAGATGAACTCAAAACTTACAAGGGAGGCTAGGGTTTAATCAAGGGTTCTTTGGAGATGATGAAGGTTGAGGGTGGAGGAAACCCTAGTCATCACTTCCTTTAAATAGGGTCTTAAGTCCGAAAAATTAAAGTTTAGCATTCTGCCTCCACTATGTCGTCGCCATTGCATGACTACGTCGTGGTGCCTTAATGAGATGTGTGTTGCATGCAGGAATGTCACATCGTGGAGATCCCTCTGCCACGTCATGGCCATCAAGAATTCCCAAAATATTAGTATTGAAATTATACCTGAAACCGGGCGTTATAGTTTAAAGTTGCAACGTGTCAGTCCCTTGTGCATGTGCCGCGTTCTTACTCTTACTCAACATTGTACATTCAAACACATCACATTTTGCATAGTAGAATGCCCAATCATGAAATAGCAACGTACAACATTGTTTATATCAAAAGATCTCTACGCATCGCGTAAATCCAACTTACACATCGCGTACCTTGGGCTGCAGTTTTTGTGCTTAACCAAAAACACATCTTCATCCCATATAAATTCATATTACACAACAATTGATCCAAACCAAAATCCAACAATTATTCTAAAGTTTCAAATATCATTTTGAACATATATCACGTAAATCCAACTTACAAATATTTGGACCATTTTTCCCTTTTACACTAAATTCACGTACAATTAATTTTCTAAGATTTTTAAAGATGTTACATTTGGTCTAAATTACAAATAAAAAATGACTATTTTGGTCCTTATATATTGTTGATTTTTGTAATTAAAAATTTCATCCTTACATTATCAAATATTTGTAGAAATTGTATTTGCTTCCTGTATTATCAAATATTTGCAAAAATAGACCATGTTTAATTTGAAAATTACAAAGATAGTTCATATAGATAATAAAATAGAAAAGGAAAGATTATTCATCTACTAAAAAATAAGATGTTTTAACTCTTATATCTTTCATTTTAACTGAAGAAAGAGAATATGATAAGGATATAAAAGTCACTAACATCTTATTTAAGTGGATGAATAAAAAACACATAGAAATAGCACCTCTCTAATCATGATCAGGAGATAAAAGTCACTAACATCTTATTTAAGTAGATGAATAAAAACACATATAAAAATATCACCTCTCCTAGAAAAATAGTCACGGCCTAAGAGATAATTTACAGAAATGGTCGATGCCTAATAACAAATTTACAAAAACTGTCCCTCTTTCAAAAAATTACAAAAATGGTCCCCACGTTTCAGAAACTTAAGAAAATGGTCCCTATTTAACTTAAATATTACATAAATGGTCGTTGTATTTCCAAAAAATGGCGTCTTAAGTATATGATTATGAATCTGTTGCAACGTGGAGACCATCTCACTAGTTTTATAAAAAGGTAAATCATAGAACTCACACAGGTACACAACAAATACTAATCACATATCATAGTTAACAACGATATCTCAATCATTTTAACTATGGCATATATATTAGCCTATATATATTAGAGAAAATGTAATTGTTTGTATACAATTAATGAATATTTGCATTTTTAATTCTTATGGCTAAATGCGAGCGCAGCTTTCGACCCTGATGGGCGTCCTAAATGTTTACAGATAAAGTCGCCCGTTTGCAAAAGCTTACGCAGATCAACATTGGTTTTGATACCAAGGCCATCAAGCATGTAAACCACATCCTCAGTAGCCACATTTCCCGAAGCACCCTTGGCATATGGGCACCCTCCTAATCCTGCGATGGATGAATCTATTGTGCTTATTCCCATCTGTTAACAACAATTACAATTTATAAGAAAGATGTTTGTATGGAATAAGTGTTGTATGCATAAAGACTTTTTCTTTTTTTTGGACCGAATGAATGAAGTGTCTGAATGAGTGAAGTGATGTCTTCTCACTTAACCCGTTAAGACATGCTTAATGTATTATTAGTCCGTAAAGTACAAAAAGAAACAAAACCCATGTCGGTTAGAGTCTTTGATTTGACTAGTGCTCATATCTGTTATTTGTTACCTTCATAATTCTATCTAATAGATTGCATTATATGAAAAGACAAATATGTAGTGTGGAGATTGTGTAAAAAATTAGGTATTATTCTGTTAGAATTTAGCATATGATAAACTATCCAGCATTTATAAAGTTTAAAGTTAAAGTTAACTTATATGTTTGTTAACTTATAATCATATAAGTTAGAAAAAAAACTAACTTTGATGTTCTTTTATAATTTTATTGTATCTATTATTTATTATATATACTATATGCATTTGAAAATTCAAACTCTTTAAATTTCAACTTAAAATATCTAATTTATTAACTTAAATATGTTATTAATGTGAAATATTATCATAATGATGGGTGATTTTAATAATTTATGAATAATATACTTAAAATGTTGATCTAAATATAATGTTAACTTCAAAATATAATCAAAATATCAAATAAACGTAAAAAACATATTCATTTTTTTTAAGTTTAAAATGTTTAAATATTTCAAATGTAAAACCTATTTTGACATGTTAAATTAACTAAAAAATATCCAAAATTATTTTTTTATGATAATTAAAATTTCCATATAAATGGTTTTTTATTTCATTAACAATAAGAATAGTTAAAAATAATATAAAACTATAAATTACATTACGTTACCTTACAAATTAAAAACCAAATGTCAAATAACGTCAAAAATAACACTATATTGACAACCATATTTAGTTTTATTTCCATGTACCCGCTACACGCCATTCAATTATATGATTTTAACAGATGTTATGATAAGGCTCAAAATAATTAAAAAAATTTATATCAAATTAGTGTAACAAATTAAAATTTCATAGTTAATATCAATAAGATAATTATTTTCAACATGTACTTGCCAAATTTCTAACTATTTAATTTTATTTTGCACAATGTGCCAATATTCGCCTGGTAATTTTATAAAACAAAGAGTCTGGTCAAACCTCACATTGGTCAACCCCCTGTTCTCGAGTTCCTTAAAGAAGGAACGGGAAGGAAAAGAGAGAAAAGTTGTGTTATTGAGTTTTTTAAAGAGGGTAATTAAGGAAAAGAAAGAGAATGAAGTGTGAGGTTTCATTTAAGGAGGGAAATGAAAACAAATTGAAGAAAATGGAAGGAAAGTAGAGCCTTTTTTCCTTCAAAATTTATCCTCTAAAAAATGAGATGATTAAGAAGGAAAGTTCCCCTCGATTTCCTTTCCTTCTTTTTCCTTTCCTTCCCCTTAATTTTAAACTCGAGAACAGGGGTGCAAGGGATGAAAGATTGATGAAAATTAATATATATATATATATATATATATATATATATATATATATATATATATATTTATAAATATTTAGAGAAAAGCTTAAAAACGACCAAAATCATCTCATTTTTAAATCTGTTTAATCAGCATTAAGACAAAAAGCAATAAATCCAAACTGCTACCCCTTCCATTTAAAAAGTCACAAAGGCTACCTAAGCAGGTTAAGGGCTATAGCCTATTAAAGGGACTAAAGTGAGAGGATTTTTGAAAATTCATTACCTAAAAGTTGACAAAATAAGTCGAGTGACTAAAGGTGGACATATGGAATAGTTCATTAGTCATTTTTAACCTTTTTGCTTTTACTATAATCTAATTTGGGTTTTAAGTTTTAACTTTACCTGGAGGGACACTAAAATATTTGGAAGAGATTGGCCATATGTGTCATGGAAATGAACCGCAAGCTTTTCAACAGGAACAACTGCCATCACTGCTCCAAGCATTGGAATTACCGTGCCTACACAAAAATTATACATCAATTATAAAAAAAAAAAATTAAATTATGAAAATAAATAGGATTGAGATAATTTACCTGGTGTCCCAATCCCAATAGTATCCCCAAGTGATATTTCATAACAACCCATGTCATGAAGTTCTTTTGCCACGTATGCAACTTTTGATGGAGGTGTCATTCCATCAACCGGGCATCCAATCACACATGACACATATCTGCATTACAACAAATAACTTGTTATGTAAATAAATACAACTTTTCTTTTCAGTTTTAAATAAATAGGAAAGTACTTTAGTAGGCCCCATTTGTTACATAGGACAGGACAAAACAGGTTGTACTGCGTTTGACATGCATTGGAACTGGACGACATATACAAAGGTGGAACAAGATGGTATAAAGACTCTTGATATCTCGTGTGTGAAAAAGACGCAAATGCCCTTCTCATTCTCATTAACAATTTAACACAACCATAAGGAATTAAGAGCATACCCACGAACAGGAATAGAGAGCTTTGTAGCAGCAGATACAACAGCACGATAACGAGCAAGACTTTGTTGAATAGTGCAATTAATGTTTGACTTTGAGAATGACTCGGATGCTGATGCAAAAACAGCTATTTCCTTTGCTCCAGCTGCAATGGCAGCTTCAAAACCCTAGTTGAAACAAAAATACATGTTTATGAGTTTACCTATGCAAAGTGCAAACACAATTATTTATTGTATTTGTACAGTTTTGGAGGAATATTACTTACCTTCATATTAGGAACCAATGCAGGCAATCTCACAGAATCAATGTTTGTAAATGCTTCAATAACATGCTTTGCATCTGCCAGCTTCATCAAAAAACAATAATCACATATAAACAGTAATAAACATGTAAGATTGAAATTAAAACGCACAAGAAATAGATAAAAAATGATGATACATTATACAAGTTCGTCAATGGGACAAAAATTGCAACGTTTTGTCTCACACAAAAAGGTGGAACACAGATCTCTCGTCTGTGCAAAAGACGTAAATGCCCTCCCCATGTTCCGTCATTAAAAATAGCTTTAGAAAGCTTGTCCAGCATAAATCCTAGTGAGAGAAAAGATACCTGAGGTACCCATTTTGGGGAAACGAAACTTGTGGCTTCAACAACAGATAATCCAGTAGAAACAAGCCTCTGAATTAGTTCTATTTTAACAGATGTAGGAACCATATTCTTTTCATTTTGTAGTCCATCCCTTGCACCAACTTCCACTATCTTCACATACTTTGGTATGCCTTTGAAAATCTTTTAAAAAAAAAAAAAAACAGCAGAATATATTATTAATTATTCCCATTTGAGGTCAATTGTACCTTTAAAAAGTTAAAATTGGCATGGATTACTTGCATAAAATGTAACACCAACAAACTTTTATTTAAAGATTAGCTAAAGAGCATGATGGGTTATCGCAATTCCATGCAAATTTGAAGAATTTATTGACTTTTGAAGATAAATAACTACATTTGACCTTAAAAGCTTATGTTCATTGGTTTTCACCTGATTTGTTATGTACTGTAGGCCTACATCATTATGCTGAAAGTATGCTAAATGTTCATATCCTACATGGTTCCTCCCTTGGCTTTGAGACATATCTCTTGCTTTATGTCTCGAAATGAATTCTCCTTTCTCATAATCAAAATCATCCCTGAGAATATTTACAATAAGTAAACTTTCTCTTTAGATCAAACACGCTGCTTTTCAGTTTCATGTATGCAACAATTAAAAAAAACATAGATGTGATACAAAAAGTAAAGAGTTAGAAAAAGACACATACTCATCACTATTTGATGAGGTGGAAGTATTTCCCTCAATCCAGCAATTTCCCATTCCAGTGTCCCCTCCACTTGTGCTACAGCCGTTGGATGAGAGTCTATGGAAAAGATCAATGGTGCTTAGGCTTGGCAATTTGTCCATACCAAGAGGCTCCTCCAAACTAGACATTGTAGAAACACTACTATATTTCAACCCTGTTGTACAAGTACTGATTCATTAAAGTAAGCACTTTAAGGTGCTTTTTAAGCAACCATGACAAAAAAAAAGGTTGTACTAATAGAAAATCTGGAAGGTGGGACATGAACTAAATTTTGTCCCATTCAAAAAAGAGGGACAAAAATAGCCCTAAAATGTCCATTCGGTGATGTGGTTTTAGGACTAAAATGAGAATTATTTACTTTGGTTCGGAAGACAAGAAATACACATTAACTGGATAGTAAATTTCCAATAAACCAGTAATTAGGATTCTATCAGAATCTTCTTCAAGAACCAGAAAAAATTGCTGCAAATCCGATGCTAAATTATTGAAGAATTTACGCTACTGACGAAAAATGAAATCCAAATTCCTAAATTTGTGATGCTCAAAATATAATTCTTCCTATAAATCCTCTGGCTTACTCATCTAAACTAAAAGCAATTCCTGAATTCCCCAATCCCTAAAAATAGCAGTTTCATTTCAATATCTCTCTTGTTTTGAAACAAACCATGAAAATGCATCTGAAACAAAAAAAAATGTAAACAAAGGCACCTGAAATCAATAGAAGTTCGTGGATGGAAAAAAATACAGCAAACCCTGATCGGAAAATTTGATATAAATAAACGCGGAATGAGGAATGATCTTCTAGAAATGATCGGTCCTATAAGGGCATCTACAATGATAGATGCTCAAAGTCCAAAAGAAACAGTATTAAACATAGCTCCTATATATATTATACAAGGAAAAGTGTAAAAAGGAGAAAACGTAAGGCACAGACTGCGTACAGCTGCCTACTACCATACATGTGGTGATGCAGCTATCAAATAAATTAAAAAATTACAGACAAAGTAGTTGAAATTGTGTGCATCGTACTTAACGTATGGTAGTGTGAATTCAAAGCTTAGATTCATATTCAATTCCTCTCTCTCCTCCCATCATTCTCACCGGCTAGACTATCATAAATGAAGACAAAAACCCCTTTGACTGGGGATTTGATTTCCGGTTCTTCGTATTTACGGAAGTTGCTGAAATATAGATGCATGTTGAAGTAAGTTTTGACGATGAATTGATTATTTCTTCCATGAATCAGCTAGCAAAGCCTTGCAGAGAATTCCTATAACTGGAATTCGTCCGAACAAAAAAAAAAGGCCCGGCTGGGTATTGACCGGGCCAGGGCTGCGACTCGTCGCCGGAGTTTAATAATGTAGAAGGGGTTGACTAGTGATTCACATGTGTCTAGCGATGAGCGACCCCAGAAAAAAACCGGATATTCTTATAAGTAGACCGGTTTTTAGGTTTTATTTATTAAGGGGATGTCTGGATAAATAGTTTTTGGCTTATTAGGTTATTGTTTATTTGCTTATTGTGGTGAGAATAAGCACTTGTGTTTGGATTAGCGGTGGGAATAAGCAATAACCAATAAGTATGTAAGTGTTTGGCAAACAAAACAGCTTATACGAGTAAAATGACCAATAAGCAATAAGCATTCATCCTCTTGCTTATTAAAATCAGCTTATTTGGCTTATTCCTACCGCAATAAGCTGATTTTTAAAGACTCCTATCTAAACACTTAAATTTGCTTATTGCGGTGGGATTAAGCAATAAGCAATAAACAGCCTATATTTTCCCTATCCAAACACCCCCTAAGATAACTGGACTATGGGTTTGGACGGACCAGAATAAGGTTTTTAATCACGACCGGACTAGAAAACCGAAAGTTTTTTTTTTTTTGAGCGACATACATATAATGAGTTTAAAAAAAAAACGCTTCCTTAGTCGACGTGCATTGTTGTTGTTTTTTTTTAAGAAATTAAATATGTTCTTATTTTTTGTTCCTACAAATCCTCATACCAAATGAAATAGTAACATGTGTAACATTTAATATTTATTTAATAATATTTTAATACACTAATATGACACATGTCATCATTTAATTGAATAGAAATATTTATAGAAACAAAAGTAGAAGGATATTTAATTTCCTTTTTTTTTGTTTATTCTCTCGCATTCCACTGTTATACAATAGGTTACAAATCTTCTTACTCTCTAAAAAAGTGCAATTTTTTATTAAAAAAAATGTTGTTTTTTATATAAAAAGATGCAGCTTTTTATTAAAAGTGTTTTTTTATTAAAAGTATTGTTTTTTGTTAAAAAAAAGCAGCTTTTTTTAATAAATAGTACAATTTTTTTTATAAAAGGAGTTGTTTGTTGTTTTTTACAAATAAAAGCCGTTAAGTGTATTTTTTTTTTTATTAAAAGTGTTATTTCTTAATTAAAACCTGTTAAATGCAGTTTTTTTAATAAATAGTACAGTTTTTTGGTTCAAAACAACATTGTCAAAGTCTAGTTCGGTCCAAAACTTGAAACCCGGTTTCGTACACGGAACCGGACCTGATACACCCCAAACCGGTCTGCTCTTTGGGTAAGGAAATTCACAATTTTCGGTCTTCAAGTTTTTTGTCTTTAGGCCGGTTCGGTCCGAGTCCGACCCGTTCATCCCTACATGTGTCCAGTTTAGATAAATCAATAAAAAAGTTATTTTTATAAAAGAAATCTTAAATTGACGTTATTTTACCTAAATTAATGAATAAGTCTCAAACTAAATTTATAAATGAGCAAATTACACGAATGGTCCCTATGGTTTAGGGTAATTTGCGCATTTGGTCCCTAACTTATTTTTTTAACTCGAAAGGTCCCTATTGTTTGTTTTTGTTACGCGTTTGGTCTTTGTCTTACCTAAAAAGACTATTTTTCCTTTAAAATTTTAATTTATTTAAATAAATACACCACAACCTCACTCATTTCACCTTATCCTACCTACCCCACCATTTTTTCACATTTAAATAATAGTTCTTTAGGTAAGACAGGGACCAAGCGCGTAACAAAAACGAACAGTAGGGACTAAGTGCGTAACAAAAACAAACAGTAGGGACCTTCCGAGTTAAAAAATAAGTTAGGGACCAAACGTGCAAATTATCCCAAACCATAGGGACCATTCGTGTAATTTACTCTTTATAAATAAGTCCCAAACTAGTGATTCACATGCGTCTGATTTGAATAAATGAAATATATATATATATATATATATATATATATATATATATATATATATATATATATATATATATATATAGTTAGGTTATTTTGTTCTAAGTATTGTGTGCCTATGAAATTGATTCTGAGCCAATCATTTGGGATAATTTAAGTAAGGGTTCTATATTTATTAACTAATTAAAAATAATCAATTTAATTACACAAATTTCACCATAAGGGTATTCTGGACAATTAGCTATATTTAAAAAAGGAAATTTTCGGAAATTTAGGGATAATTAGATCTCCTAATTTTAAAAATCTGAAAATCTTATTCAATATTAATTCCAACATATTTTTATAATGACCGAATTTATTGTGTCAGAATGACATTTTTTTAGAAGGTTATATTCTATGAGAATGTCAGAATACATATTCTTATAGAATACATGTGTTGATTGAATGACAGAATACATATTCTTATAGAATGAATATCAGATCATATCATTCTTCAAACGAAATAACAACATTTTTTTATTGAATGAACTTTCTAAGAATAACAAATTTTTTGATACAAGTTAAATTTTTGTCGTCACATTCTTAAAAAATAAAAATCTTAATATATTATTCTATCATAATGAAACACTCATTAATAACAAAACAAACACAATTGGTATATTATTCTAACCAAATATTCTACCAGAATATATACTATAATATATAGTCGTATCATTATATTGTAAATTATTATGTCAATGCTTTCTTTTGTGAAGATCATTGACCATTGTTCATCTTCATCCCACATGCCATCATCCAACCTTCCAACACTTGATCATCAGGTTCCTTTCACACATTCTTTGAGAATAACTTCCTTCAAATCGAGTATTCGATGAGAATAACTGCCATGAAATCGAATATGTAAGAGTAACATTTTATAAATTCACCATGAGCATTCTAAATTTTGTGCATTCTAAAAGAATAAAACTATAAATTATGGCAGAAATCATGATAAAAGATTAATCCAGTTGCAATAAAACCCTAGAAAAATCATTCTTGTGTGATGTTACCATAATCATTCTTATGTGATTATACTAGAACTACAATTCTGGCATAATCATTCCTATGTGATTCTGCAAGAATATAATACTCTTTACACATTATTCAAATAGAAAAATACATTAGATGCAAAATATTCTTAAAGAATGAAACAGTTAAAGATGAGAATAACACCCGATGATGATGTAAGATAGCTATTCTAATATTTCAGTTAGTTGATCACTAAGTAATAACATTATAATACACAAATAATAACATTAATAGAGATAATTTGTTGTACTCCTGGTTCAGTAACTACATCAAACACATGGTGGGTATTGATGAATTCTAACAGATTTGTACTAGACATTTCGTCAAACACCTTCAGGGCACACACAAAATCATCACGCTTTGTAGAATATTACTAATGAAATGAACAACTAAATGCACCAACATCAAATATATTTAAAAATAAAGATGCCTTGAACACCATTACCTAATTCCATTCTAGCAGAATGATCGACATCAAGATGCATTAAAAAAAACCGAGATTTCAACTATGCATTTTATCGAACACATGGTGTGCTTCTTCAGTTTCTTCAAAAAAAATTAGTGAGAGTATTACCAATTCAGTTTCTTGGTGGTCGGGAACTGGAGATACAACTAAAAAAACATGTTATGATTAGTACAAGAGCATATCAATATTCAGATATTCATATTCGAAGAGGGAAAGTATTAAATACCTGGTAGATTGGGGCGCACAATCGAGCAACTGCATTAGGGCCACAATAGTACTTCTTCAAGATGACTGGTCACTCAACGCAGTCAAACATGGGATCCAAATCCAGGACCTTTCCGTTAGCGTCTAGCAAGCGTATGGAAAGCAAGAGGCCGACGAACATGAAGATGAGGAAGAAGAGTAGTCGAATAGAGGATCTAGAAATTGCTGTCATGATGGCGGATAATAGGCTAACTGTGGTTCTCGGATGTAAGGATCGATTTCTGGTGGAAAGGAGGAACGGAGGTATCACTGATTTGAGGAATCCGTCGTACTCTTTAAGGTTAGGGATGTTGGCTTTGTAGGGTTAAACTAATTAAGGAGATAATTAAGGAGAGATTAATTGAATTATTTTTTTACCATAATTAGATATAGTAAGTTTACCATTATACCCTTTTTTAATTTATTTAATGATTTATTATTCCTGAATTCTCATTTGTGCATTTAGGCACACACTATTTGCTAGAAACATTTGAACCTATATATATATATATATATATATATATATATATATATATATATATATATATATATATAAAGGAAATCTTAAAGTGACATTATTTTACTTAAATTTATGAATAAGTCTGAAACTAAAAGTTGTTTACTAATGACGATTTTGTATTTTTCTCACAGTTTACCAATTTCATTACTGATGTAGACGCCTAGAATAAGCTGGGAAAAATCTTCATTAAAGTTTCATTATTTTGCTCTAATTTACGAAAATCTACATAAATAAGTTGAGAAAATCCCCATTAACGTCTTAACAATCAAATTGGATTGTTAATAATATGAATGTTAATAATAAATTGTGATATGATGAAATCCCATATTTTGAAAATAATATATAGAGGCATAATTACCAATATTAAGCTTATAAACAAATAAATTATTAAGATTATTTCAAATTATTTGATTAAAACTAGAAAAGTTTCCCATGCTTTGCATGGGTTGGAGGGTTTGGATTTGTGTTTGTGTTAAAACTTCTTGGGTTTGTTGCCAAATTAAGACAATCAAAAAATTGAATGAACAAACCCAATTGAAATTTGTAAGGTACTCCTATTATAACACATATATTACCTGTTCGCAAGGTTGAAGAAAATCATGACATGGGATTTTGTGCTTGGTAACATGCTCCAACTTTAAGAGGGAACATGGTCATATTTCCATCCTAGTGTGCTTATTAAACAAAAACAAAGGTGGTTGTTACAGGATGATGGCAAACATTATTCATTTGGTTGTCAAATTGCATTCCACTCTACCAAACACAGATAGTTTTTTTTTACAATTATAAAAATTAAAAGGATCAACTCTTTCATTTTAGTCATTTTGGTAGGATATAGAAAAGCAAATGGCAGACTTGCATTTCATCTTTTAGCTTCTAAACCACCTCCTTTACCTA